GGATGGGATTTTACTCCAGGTAGTTCCTGGTTCCAAAAAAGAATGGCGGTTGGAGACCTGTTCTAGAGCTAAGATTACTCAACAGATTTGTAAAGATTCAGAGGTTCAAAATGGTAACTCTTGCAGCAATAATTTAATCATTGGACCAAGGGGACTGGTTCTCAGCCCTCAGCCTTCAAGATTTTACTTTCATATAGCAATCCAGCACTCCCACAGAAGGTTACTATGCTTCACTCTGGGTCAAGAGCATTTTCAATAAGTGGTGCTCCCGTTTGTTCTCTAGTCTGTGCCCAGAGTGTTCTCAAAAGTTCTTTCTGTGGTAACGGCTCATCTTCGCAAACAAGGAACTCTGATTTTCCCATATTTCAGTGATTGCTTGCTCAAAGGGCGGTCCTTCAACGAAGCTTTGATGGCCACTCAGAGGGCAGTAGACCTGTTTCTCAGACTGGGACTACAATTAAACATCCAAAAGTTCACCTTAACCCTAGTAAAATGACTGGAGTTTGTAGGAGCTTACCTCGATGCAGTAACAGCCAAAGCATTCCTCCCTTCTTACAGATTCGTAGCCCTAGCCACTTTAGTCACTACAGTTCAAGTCAACCCGCAAACACTGGCCAGAAATTGTCTTCAGCTATTGGGACATATGGCGGCTGGCACCTTTGTAATAAATCATGGGACACTTCACATGTGCTGCATCCAGGGGTTGCTCAGAACTGTTTACTCACCAAGCAAACAGTTTAAACAAACTACTCTCCATGCCTTTGGTAGTCAAAAAACGCCTCAACTGGTGGAAGAACCCTCACAATGTTTTCACAAGGGTCCCCTTTGCTCAGCCGTCTCCAACATCAGTAATAAGAGAGGCATCCTTACCGAGATGGGGAGCTCATCTAGACACTAATACTGTTCAAGGCAGATGGCAGTCTCCCAAGTCCACCCTCCATGTCAACTTGTTGGAATTCAAAGCAGTCAGAAATGTCTGTATCCATTTCCTCCCACAGATTAGGGGCAAATACATAAAGATCCCGATGGACAACATGTCAATGCATATTTTACGTAAACTGCCAAGCGGGAGTGAGATCACCTTCTCTCTGCATCAAAGCAGTGGGACTTTGAAATTGGTGCATACAAAACCAGATCAGCATCTTAGCAGCTTACCTTTTGGGCATACAAAACACTACAGTGGATGACCTCAGCAGACATTTCTCACAAGATCACAAATGGGAGATAGATCCCACTGTACTCCACCACATATTTCAATGTTGTGGCATCCCACAGATAGACCTGTTTGCCAAGAAGTGCTCCCAGTTCTGCTCAAGAAGTGATCCAGGTCACGTCGTTGGAGTCCAGTCATTCTGTATGCATTTCCCCCAGTTCCACTGATATCCAAGGTGCTGTTCAAGATAAAGAGAACCAAGGTTATTCTCATAGTTTCAATGTGGCTGTGACAAACATGGCTTCCTTACTTCACTCAGCTTGCTGTTTCTCAATCGTTTTCCAGACCATCCCCTATGTCCTCTCTCGGATGCTGGTCAAATCCGTCACCCCAACCTCAGAGTTCTCCAGCTGAAGGCATGGCTAATTAGATAGTTTGCATGGTTAGAAACAACTTGTTCTGAGCCATGAAGAAGGTGCTGTATCATAGAAAGAAACAATCTGCTTATGACACATATACAAAAAAGTGGATGAGATTCAAACACTGGTGTGACCTAAAACATCTTTCGTCTACATACTCTCCATTATCATTTTAGAGCTAAAAATGACAGGTTTATCTTTAAGCTCTGTAAAAGTGCATTTGGCAGCTGTTACTCCTGAGGACATTCCGTGCCAAAAAATTAAAAATTCTGCACAATATTTTAAAATTCTGCAAGTTTTATTTGTCAATCAATAAATAAATGCAGAGGCTCCAGCATGGCAGTGGGGAGCACAGGCCATTGGCTGCATGATGGTGGGAGATCACCCTGCAACCCCCTGACCTCCTACTCCTGGAACACAGACTCAGCAGTGAGATTGCACCCAACCCTGGGACAGCACAAGGGCTGGGCCTGTCCCAGAAACACCCTGGGGCCCTGCCCCTCTGCGCCAGGTGTGGGGCAGGCAGGCTCAACCAGGTAGGATCCAAGTGTGGAGGGGCTCAGTGTGGGGGATCCGGGTGTGGGGTGAGAGGATTCTGTGTGGGACAATCTGGGTTCAGGCAACTCAGTGCGGGGGTCTAGGTATGGGGGGATCTGGATGCACAGAGGCTCATGTGGGGGGCAGTTCCAGGTGCAGGGGCAATGGGACTCTGCAGGGGCTTCCAGGTGAATGTGGTTGAGGCTCAGCAGAGGGGTCTGGGTGTCTTAGCGGGGGGGGGACTGGGTGCTGGGGGAGTGGGGCTGGATGTGGGGGCTCAAGGCGTTGCAGAGAGTGGGGCATCAGGGTAGGGGTTTGAGTGCAAGGAGCTCAGTGGGGGTGCAGGGGTGAGGCTCTGGAAGCAGGGGGGCTGGATGCAGGAGGGCTCCAGATGCAAGGTTTGAAGTTCAGTGGGGTGGGGTTGGGGTATGGAGGGCTAGGGGGGTTCTGGATGTACCGGGTGAAGCTTGGCAGGGGTGTCTAGGTATGGGAGGTCCAGATGCATGAGGTTGAGTGGCTGGGGAGCAGCTCCCTGTACAGTGACCCCTCCCCCACAGCTCAGGAGCAATGAGGGCAGGAAGCAGGGGAGGATGCTGAGCTTCCTGCAGCTGGGGGAGGTTTCTAGGGGTGGGTCTGACACAGTCCCAGCCACTCCTTGCAGGGGAAGAGGAAGTATTGTCCTCTACTGTCTCCAGCCCAGCCAGGACTATCAGCTGGTCCTGGCTCAGGGTAGGAGCCACTGGCTGGGGTGTCCCCAGCCCCGCAGTGATTTACCTCTCTGCCAGCTACTTCAGGTGCCTGAAATGATGTACCTGCATTGCTAGGGGAGTAGTGCGTGACTGCTCTTGCAGCTTCCCTTTACTTCCCTGTCTGAAAGTCTTTCTTTTTTCCTGCGGGGAAGCAAAGAAATCTGTGGGAGACATGAATTCTGCGCACACACAGTGGTGCCGAATTCCCCGAGCAGGACGCTGTTACAGCCTTCCATCATATGGTAGAGGGTTTTTTTTTGTCTTCGCTCGTCCTGTAACAAGAAGTTTCTCAAGGGACTGGACAACCTCTTCCCTCAGATCAGATGCCCTACACTGGCATGGGACCTCAACTTGATACTCAAATGTCTTACAAGGCCTCCCTTTGAACCTATGGCCACCTGCTCCCTTCTACACCTGTCTCTGAAAACTTAATTTCTAGTAGCAATTTCTTCTAATCAAAGAGTGGGTGAGATAGGGCCTCTTATGCTATGCTCTCCCTTCCCAGCCTTCTTTAAAAATAAGGTCATGCTGCGACCTCATCCCAAGTTTCTGCCAATGTTATCTTCAGAATTCCATATAAATCAACCCTATCCACCTTCCAGTTTTCTTCTCTAAGCCACACCAGGATAAAGGAGATGCGACAGTACACTCAATGTCAGGAGGACATTAACCTTTTACTTGGACAGAGCTAAAGCTTTAGGAAATCTCCCAGATTATTTCTCTCCATTGCAGACAGAAGTAGGGGATTTCCAAGCAAAGGCTCTCCAGATGGATATCTGGCTGCATTACCTACTGCTATCAATCTCGTGATTTTCAGCCTCCCTCTAGGGCAGTGGTCTCCAAAGTGGGGTGCGCAAGAGGATCTTTGGGAGTGCGTGGCAGGAGGAGCGCTTTTTTTTTTTTTTTTTTTTGCTTTGGCTTTATTTGCTTCTGCGCGGCAGGGGGTGCGTGCTCAAAATTTTTTTACTGATGGGGTGCGCGATCAAAAAAGTTTGGCGACCACTGCTCTAGGCTATGAACTCATTTCACAAGATCCCTCAAGAACATTACCATATGTAGAGCTGCGACATGGATGTTTATTCATAGTGTTCAGCATAGTGCATGCTGAACACTATGCAATCACTCATGCCTCAGTTTCTGATGCCATATTTGGCCCTACTGTTCTGTCTTCAATCCTAGACTCCACTGTGAAGCCCCACTCCTTTGTAGAGGGTACTGCTTGATAGTCATCTAGAGTTGAGCACCCATAGGGACACTACCCGAAGAAGAAGAGAAGCTACTCACCCTATGCTGTAACTGTGGTTCTTCGAGACGTGTCCCCCATGGGTGCTCCATTACCCACCCTCCTCCCATCTGCTTCAGAGTTCTTTTCAGCGAGTTCCGCAGTAGAGAGAGAATTGAGGGTGGTTTGCCTGCACAGCTCTATATAGCATCAGTGCATGGCATGAGGGTGAAGGGCATGAGGCTACGTGGGACACGTGTGGGCCAAACAGACACTGCTACCTAAAATCTCTGATTTGAGGTGCATGGGCACAAACACACCTAGGGTGGAGCACCCAGAAGGGGACACATCTTGAAGAACCACAGTTACTACACTAGCTGAGTAACCTTCTCTTTTCACATGCAAACATTGTCTTGGTGGAAAGCTCAATAATTTCTCATAAAGCTATTCCTATTGCTAAATATCTTAGCTCTCTTTTGCTTGATTCTTTAAAACTTGTCTATCTAAGGGCCCTTGACAATACAAGTTCAACCCAGTTACAACGTGGCTTTTCTCTGACCTTTTAAAAATCACAACTGTGATTTTTAAACAGAGATAAAACCTTAACTTTGGTCATAACAGCACTAAACCCTTGAATGTAACTTTGTCAAGCCTTGACCCAGGTTCTGAAGCTCTATTGTGTTAAGAGGCTTTCTACATTCCAGATTGCAATAATGTTATAACTGAGTTATTGACACTTATTTGTAGGATAAACTGAATCTGAAACATTTAGTACTAAATTCTGCTCTTGCTTACACATCTTTGTGAACTGAGAATAAGTTCCATGACTTCAATTGAGTTTAACTGGTGTAAATGAAAGAAGAATTGAGCCCTTTTTCACCCATGCACAGCTGTGTAATATATTTCTTTTTTGTTTTTAGAGCACAGTTAGAAAATGAGAAGAAAAAAAGGGAAATAGCGGAAAAGGAAAAGGAAAGAATAGAGCGTGAAAAAGAAGAACTAATGGAGCGCTTAAGACAAATTGAAGAACAGACAATGAAGGCCCAAAAAGGTAAACTCTCGTTCATCATGTAATCCCTTTTATTTCAATCCTTGCAGAAGTGTTGAATAGTTTAGTTCCACAATTTAGGATTGTTTATAAAAATTACAAAACTTAATGACATTTTTATTAATGGACATTTTTGTATACAATTTTGATTTTAACATTCACTGACATTTGTAGTTCAAACACTGCAGCATTTTTTTAGAAGTTGAATTATATGCTATTTGAATTGTGTACTATTGAATTGTTTAAAACAATGTATAATTTCACTTAAAATGATGTATAATTTTCTGTGTTCTTAGCTGCACATTTGTAGAATCTTTGTGTCATGGGTATATAGGGCAAGCTGCACTTCAGAACCCTTTTAATTCCTCTCAAGGACACCCCTTTGGGGATAGGTTTCACTACCTTCACCCCGTCTAGGTGCAACCACGCAGTCCTACCACTTTTAGACTGGTTCTCTGGGCTGCAGTCCCCTGTTCACTAACCACGTTAATCTGACAAACCCAATTGTATTTGGCAACTGTAAGCTCTTTTCCTCTGAGAGCCTGTGACAGCAGCTGATTAAAGTGACTCAAAAACAGCTTAATGAAACAAAGCATTATTTATGCACCCAAAGGTACCTAATCCGCAGAGCAAAGGGATAAAACAAACGTCTGTACACGTTTCCCCTTACCTGAACACGAACCTTTCATTGAGAACTTTAATAAGCTCTATTCTGCCCAGCTATTCCATCTCTAAGCTGGGAGAGACAGCCTGCTTGCTGCAGTTTGTGTCTCTGGCCTGGTCTACACTTACCACCCCCAATTCGAACTAAGGTACGCAACTTCAGCTACGTGAATAATGTAGCTGAAGTCGAAGTACCTTAGTTCGAACTTACCTCGGTCCACACGCGGCAGGCAGGCTCCCCTGTCGACGCCGCGGTACTCCTCTCGTATAGCTGGAGTACCGCAGTCGACGGCAATCACTTCCTGATTCGACTTACCGCGTCCAGACAAGACGCGATAAGTCGAACCCAGAACTTCGATTCCCAGCCGCCGAACTAGCGGCTGGGTGTAGACATACCCTCTGTCTTCTCTGGGCTGCAGCTGACAAGCTGCTCAGCCCCACAGTCTTTCCTAGGCCAGCATCTTTAAGGTTTTATCCTGACCTAGACTCAAGTCTGGGAAGAATAAACCCTACCTGCCTGGATGAAGCCTTATCTCACTGAATGCGCCATTTTTTAATATTTTGTTTTATTCTCATGGATAAGAGTGTGGCCCTTAGCCTTATTTTCTGCACGTGATTCAAACCCTGCTCTGAAGACAGAATTATTAATTTTTTTCATAGGCTTTTCTGTGACGCTTGCCACTATTGTATCTGTATGCTTCACAAACATTAATCTCCACAAGACCTGTTAGGTGGTGGTATTATCTCAATTTTATAGGTGGGGAACTGAGGCAGAGAGAAAGTTAAGGTCAAATGTACATACTAAATTTCGGTGTCCAATTTCAGATGCCTAGGACCTGATTTTTCAGAGTACTTACCATTACCGTTATATGCTGAAAGCGCAGCACCTATTGATTTCAGTTGCAGCTGAGAGGACTCAGTATTTTTGCAAATCATAGCCCTAGCATCTCAGTTGGGGCACCCAGAAAATGAGGAACACAATTCACCACCATTTAACTAACTTACAATTTGGGTAATTTATTGACTTCATAGAGAATATAAAATTTGATACATTTATATTTATCAGCACAAAAACCAGCTAACAGTGTCTTTTGTGAACCTTCCTTTGGACAGAGCTGGAAGAACAGACAAGAAAAGCTTTAGAACTGGATCAAGAACGAAAGAGAGCAAAAGAGGAAGCAGAGCGCCTGGAAAAAGACCGTCGAGCTGCAGAAGAGGCTAAAGCTGCTCTAGCCAAACAGGCTGCTGATCAGATGAAGAATCAGGAGCAGCTAGTAAGCAGTTGAAATCAAGCTACAGTTATTTCGACAAGTTGAAAATACAGCCTTTTTGGGTTTGACCTTAATTACTTTTTTGTTGAAAGAAACAGATACTCTTCCTTGATAGAACATAGGTACCTGTAAGTTACCTTGACCATTAGATTCCAGCTTTGATAAGCAGATTGATACCTTTTACATAAGTGGCAATCACAATAGTTTGACCTGTTCATTATTAATAATAAATTTAAAATGCCAATAAGTACCTAAAATTGATATTGAAATATGTTACTCATAACATGTAGTGACATCCTTTGTAGGTTTTCCCATAGTCACCTCCAGGAGCCATTGCAGTCCTTTAGTGTCTGGTAACATGCTGTGCTCGATTGCTCATTATCGGACCATATTACACTAATATACTTGTATTATTTAAAGAAATTGTACATTAAAATTTCAGGGTGAGGTTTTCAGGAGCATTCAATGTTGCCTAATTCTGCTTCCAGTGAAATCAACGATAAAATTCCTATTGACTTCTTTGGGAGCAAAGTTGGCTAGTGCTGAGTGCTTTTGAAAATCCCACCCAGAATATAGAAGTATTTTTTCATAATAACTAAAATTACCTGTATAGGTGGCATACATCAGCATACTCTGCTATCATAGAGATCATTGTTGAGAGGTTGCCAGAATGTGGCTATCTCCCACTGTATTGTTACCCACAGCAGAAAATAAGATTTGGGGGCAGGGACAGGGAAACCGTAGTATGCTTCCCGCACCGATATATCCTGTATAGCCACTCTGAAACAAACCCTCCTCCTAATATTTCAGGTTCATCTGGTTGAGAACCAGAATGGCTTCCCTTAGTTTCTTTCACTGTAAGATGGCCAGTCATTTTCATCCCATTAGGAGGCTGATCTTTCTGTTAAATGGAAAAAAATTAAGCTTAAGAAAATATTATGTTTGAATTCTCTTGTTTTTAGGCAGCAGAACTTGCTGAATTCACTGCCAAGATTGCACTTCTAGAGGAGGCCAAGAAGAAGAAGGAAGAGGAAGCCTCAGAATGGCAGCACAAAGTAATAAACTTTTATTCTGTATTAACTTGGGATTTTCAAAGCAAGGAGTTAGGTGTAGAATTCCCATTGAAATTTAGTGAGGTTGGGTGCATATCTGCCTTTGGCTCCTTTGAAAATCCCACCCCAAAAGACCCAGTCCTCCAACTTCTTCAAACCATACAAAATATCTATTTAATTTCAGAATACTGAGTGATAAAGCAATGTGGAGAAAAATACTCTCATCAGAACTCCTTTCTGCTCTGGCTTATATCCTCACAGGTTTCAGTCTATAAATGACTCTGCTAGTGTACAGAAGGAGTGGTTACCATATATGTAGACATTTAAACTATTTTCTTTTTAATTCTTGGATTATTTTTAAATCACTTTGAAGGTGAAACTATATAAATGCTAAGTAGTAGTATTATTATTTAGGCTTTTGCAGCCCAAGAGGATTTGGAAAAGACCAAAGAAGAACTGAAGACTGTAATGTCTGCTCCTCCTCCACCACCACCACCTCCACCTCCTCCACCACCAGTTATTCCTCCAACAGAGAATGAGCATGATGAACATGATGAGAACAATGCTGAAGCTAGTGCAGAACTGTCTTCTGATGGTGTCATGAACCACAGAAGTGAGGAAGAACGGGTAACAGAGACACAGAAAAATGAACGTGTTAAGAAACAGCTCCAGGTAATGAAGGTTTGTGGTTGCATTAATGGTATAATTAAGCCTTCAGTTTTTCATTCCTTAATTGCTGAAAATCTTGTGTATTTAAACAGCACATTTAAGTGAAACTCTAATGTGTAGTTTCCTTTGCATATTTTATCACTTACTAGATTTGTAATTAAACTGCACAAAACTGAGTAAATAAGACTTGGGGTAGAATTACCTACTCTGTGTGTAGTTTAAAAAGTGCACATATAAATGTGATGCTGCACTACCACAAATATTTACAATCAAATATTAAAAATGTAAATTCATCTGTAGTACACTGTAATCCTTAAAACTTAATCCTTTAATTTCTGAACCAAAAATTGTTATACCCTACTAACTAGTGTTTTGTCCAGTGAGTATTATTTGGGTTTCTCAGCAGCAATTCACAGTATCTATAAATGTAAAAAGCAAAGTAAAAATATAAACCTGTTAGGACATAATTTATCTCCATTCAAACGGTTAGACTCTAGAAGGTAATGTTTCATTTTTTTCAGGGTTTTTTTTTTTTTTTTTAAAGTGATCTGTCATTGGACAATTTACTAATACAACATAAGGTTACCATTTTTCTATGACGATACTAAAATGAACGTGAGCACCTATTTTTTTTCTCAGTATCCGTATTTTACCAACAAACAATATTTTCTGAATTGTGTACATATCCTCCTGCTGTGCTGGTCATGGTACTCAAGCAGAGAAGTAAATAGCTGCAACCTTTCAGTTAAGTAGAAACTAGAGTAAAGTCAAGCCCTAGCTTCTCCTACCAGACTCTGTTCCCTTGCTCTTATTAGAATTCTCCTCCTGGGATGCTAGAATGTGAAGAACCTTTGCCTCCAGGTTTGTTATCCCCTCAGTCTACATGATGCATCTAACAGCTTCAGTACAGTCAGGTATTTTCACTTCTTTCTTGAGCGTAGCAGGAAGCATATGGTTGGCATTTAGCAAATCCCTGTCCAAGACTGTAGATCATATGTTGTCAGAAAATCCTAAGTCTTGGTGCCGAGTAGTGAAAATGCTGAAACTCAAATATTTTATTCCCACAGACACTAAGTTCTGAGTTGGCCCAAGCCAGAGATGAAACCAAGAAAACACAAAATGATGTCCTCCATGCTGAGAATGTTAAAGCAGGTCGTGACAAGTACAAGACTCTTCGACAAATCCGACAAGGCAATACAAAGCAACGTATTGATGAGTTTGAGGCAATGTGAGAGCTGTTACTTTGCATATATGTTCTTCGTAAAGCTGAACCACCAACAGAGAAACAAGCAGGCCTTTGCAGATTTGAAGATTGCACCCCACTTTGCCAAAGCACTTATACCAGTTTGACTGTGGTGGTAAAAAGACAAATTTAGGGGAACCCATTCAACAATAAGGCAGTCTGTCATCTTTGGCTTTTTTGGAGAGGGAGATTGGAATGGGGGCAGATGGTTTCCCTTGTCTTAGGTTTTATTTTTCATTTTCATAGTTTGTGCCGCTTGTTCTCTTGAAGACTGGCGCTTACTATATCATGGCTGTCAAGTGTGTGTGTTACCAAAACACAAAGTCAGAAAGGACATTAGATCTGAACCTAAAACTGATGGATACTATTTCAGTGTGATGCAGTTTGAAATTACATTTTCCCATGTTGCCACATTTCCTTAGGCGTTTGATATTGCTGACTTTATCATTTTTTCACCAAGCTGAATTCTTTGGGTGTTTCATGTCCTGTCATCATTGATGGTTTTCTTTGCCTACCTGTTCACAAAGGTCTAGATGGCAGGTAGTAGGTTCCAGCAGAGATTTTAAAATGGAACACTACCTGTGGGCAGCAGTTGTCTGCGATTGGCCTAAATAAGTATTGCTTTTTCACTTTAGATGTGTAGAAATGTTCTAATAAAGCAAAGAAAAACAAAATACAAGAAGCTTGTATCCTGTTTTTTTAATGATTATTTTAATTACAATAAGAAAAACCTGGACCTTTCTGGCAAGGGAGCATATGAAAACATCAGTCCCAGGGAGGGGACAGTATCCTACCTCACTACTATATACATGATGACAGGTCCTTCAAACACCATGTAAACTTGAGTGTGTAAATTGACTTTCATCTTATGATAATACTATAGAAAGATAGGAATCTTTACTCTTAAGATTTTGTTTTACTTCAAGATGGCTTTATAGTGCTAAATACTGCTTAACTGCCTTTTTGTTGAGTTAAATTATAAAATGATATGATGTACATTAAAACTAACCTGTCACTGGTATACTATCTTACAGGAGGGGTGTGGAATGTGTTTATGGGTTTCTCTGTACCAAATGAAAATTCCCATAATTGGAAAAAAAGAGGCTTGTAGTTTCATTTCTCAGTGATGCCAGTGTGTAATTGTTATTGTATCTGATGTCTGATCATTGTCACTCAGTTGTCTCAAACTCTGGAAAAAGAGATTTAAACAAGAGATTTTTTTTAATTTTAGAGGGTTAAATAGTTCATAGAAAGTGAGGTCTTTCTTTTAAGAAATTATTTTACAACTAACGTGGACTGCAATTATTCTTCACTTTATAGTACCTTGGTTAGTGTCTAGTTGGAACAAGCCCTGCTTTCTCTGAGGATGGTTCAGCAATCTTCCATTTGGTATTATGCACTCATAAATTTACACTTATCTATTAAAATATGCCATTTTATTAAACATTTTTTCAGGCACAATAGGTTCAAGTTATTTATGAACAGTTCAACTGAGCTTTTTTTGATTTTGCTGAGTTAAAGACACACTATGTGGGATGATATCATGAAAAGGGTATAAAGTTGATTTAATATATTTTGGGTTGTGGAGCTAAAAATAGCTGGCTAACCTTGAGAAGACTGGTGTGCAAATGTGGTGCACATGCTTCAAAACACAGGTTGGTGGAAGTTTATTGCTTCTACTTGCAGTGCATTGAAAGAACAGTGTGTGTATCTCAGGCTTCCTGCATTGAAGCATGAGCATTTGAATTTCCAAAGCGTTAGAACCATCTGCCATAGCAGGTGAAATACTGTGCTTTCAATGGGTTTTTATGGTTTTTCCTGAAATGTGTGCACTAACATTACTACATCAGTTTATCAGTGTTGATAAATACCAGTTAAATTTGCTGTTCATAAATCTACGATATATAGATTAGAATTAAAATGGATCTAATCCATTTATAAAGCTGTGTGAATTTTTCTAAATAACCAGGAACAACGATTTGAAATGTGGATTTTCACAATGAACCAGAGTGGTTATTACCAATAGTTGGGAACACTTATTGATGCAGAGATATTATGAATGCATTTAATGAGTACTCGGTGAAGCAAATTTCAACATGCTTTCCCCTTAGCATCATGTTTTGTGTTGTACAGTTAAGCTACAATTACATCTAATATTTTGGATAACATTAATTGGTTAACAATAAAGAGATACAGTTAATTTCTTTGAGGTCCACTGTTGTTATTTAATGTATTTTACCCTGGCAAATCTGTTAAACTCATTGCAATAGCTTTTTTCAGAGCAGTGAATTTCTGGATCATCATCAGTCTTACAATTTCACATTGTGGTCAAAGTAAAATAAAAATGGTTTTAAATTAAATACCTAAAGAATAGTAGTCTGATTCAGAAATTACTGCCTACAACTGGGAGGAAAAACTGGTGATTGCTGATTCAAAAGAGGATATGAATCATCAGAGTAAATTGGCTCTTTTGAGACAAGAAGATAATTTGGCCACATAAGAGCTGCATGGGTAATGTAAGAACTTTCAGTCACTGCCTGCACTGTACTTAGCCTCAATCAAAGTAAAGTTTAGTTTAATTGGTCATTGGCTTGTCTTTAACATTTTGATTATTTTTAATGTTGTTTATTAAAATGCCATATATTATCTGGATAGTTCTTTCAAATACAGAGGTGCCTAAAGATGCTTTTTATTTATAAGCAAGCTTGCCTTTTCTACCCATCCTCTTCACTAATGTAGAGCACATGCACTGCTTCTGGCTTCTTCCACAGAAACGGCTAGACAAACTAATCTGCTAAAGAATTTGCACATGAATCGGGCTTCCTCTCAGTTGACATACAGTTCAGTCTCACATTTCTCTTTGGCTTTGCATGGGCTCAAACACAGAGCCCTCCATTCTGTTAGTTATGGCAGAGTTGTTAAAATAAATGACAGGACATACAATACACCATATATGCTTTTGGATTTCTACCATGCATGTAAATTGATTTTTGTCCTTTCCCCTAACTAGAGCCCTTTCTAATGAAATGTTGGATTCCAAAAGCCCCATTTTCAGAGTACTTGTGCATAGGTATGCCAACCTCAGAGAATATTTTGGTTGAATTTTGAGGTAAATGCTATGAAGGTATTTTTCTTTCATGGGGAGGAGAGAAAAGGAGGCTAGAAACATTCCCATACTCCCTGTGCACTATACGCACCGACTTTCTAATGTGCCGGGGGGTGCTGCCCTCCAGCTCCGCCCCATTCCCTGCCTCCACTCAACCTCTTCCCCCAAGACCTCACCCCTGCCCTGCCTCTTCTCACCCCTGCTCTGCTCCCTCCCACGAGTGCCCTGCCCTCACTCCTTCCCCTTCCCCGCCCCCAGTGTCTCCTGAACACTGCGGAACAGCTGTCCCCTAGTGGGCGGGAGGCACTGTGGCGAGGGGGGGGGGTGCGCTGATCAGTGCGGTCCAGGCTGGCAGAAGGCACTGAGGGGGGGGGGGGTGCTGATAGGGGAACTGCTGGGGGGTGCTCTGCACCCATCTTTTTTCCCCCCCCCCGTGGGTGCTCCACCCACAGAGTTGGCGCCTATGCTGTGTACCAAGTTAATTTACTTAATAGGGACTTAATAGATTCCGAGTTTGGTGGAGAGGGAAATTCAGCTATTCAGAAGTATTCTCCCCTTCATAGTTATATTTCCAAAACATAAATTTTCTTTTGTTGACAGGTTCTCCAGATTCACATTCATGCATTTTTGTTCATTTTATCCAAAATGGAATTACGGCAGAAATCCAAGACCATATAATTCTATAGCTCATGTCTCTGCATGTTTAGGCCGCAGTTCGGAAAAGCACTTAAGCATTGTGCTGAAGTAAGTTCCCATTTCAGGAAAATGCTTAAGTGCTTTCCTGAATAGGGATGGTATCCTGAAACAGCAGCTTAAAAGCAGGTTTCTCCTCATTTGCAAAGAATGGTTTCCAGAGCAATTTAAAATAACTTGCTCAAACCCATCCATGAAAGAAAGAAAACTGTTTCCTGGTTCTTAATGTCTTGTCTCAAAGTAATTGAAAGTTTCTAAGGAGAAACTCCTCTATTTTCTAAAAGTCATATTTAAAGTATTGGACTTAAAATCAACAAAATCATCAGTATAACCTGTTTTCTAAAGGAAAATTACTAGGAAAATTTTTCCACATCTATTCAGATTTGGAGACGCTAAATACCTGGTCTCTTCTAAGTGTCAAAGAAGTTTTGTTAATATTTCATTTATGGAGGACTTCACCAAAAGACGTAACTGAGCCCTAGCTCCTAAAGCTGTTTCTGGCCTTCATAAAGTAATTTATCCTTGGGACAATATCTCTTTAAAATGTGATAGAAAAATGAAAGCTTCCTTACAAGAAGTCTGATCAAAGGCTCATTGAAGTAAATGGGAATAGCCCAATGCATATAGTTGAATATCTCTACAAAGCATTAATATTACTTTTTAAAAACATGGGACTTTTCATGATGAATGAAACCTATAGTCTAAGTGCTTTTGTGGCATCTCTAATCATGGTATCTAAGGTGAGTATCTTATATTCAACAGTAGCCAATGACTGATGCCTCAGGGAAGTAAAACCCCCATAATGCACCTAATCTGTAGGGGAGGGGAGAGAAATATTTCTTCCTGACACCAGCTTATAACATGAATCATGATTAATAATGAGTAATAAAACACTGATTTGCAGTTCATAGTTTAATTTGTTAATTTGACTTTCCAGAGGAACCAACAAAACAATTGGCCCAGTTTTATTTTTCCAATGATATATTTAGGCAGGACTTCTTTTGTGAGAGGAATTGTGGCTCAGCTGAGTTTGTTTCAGCTGAAGAAATTTGTCAGATAATTGGTGCTCTCCTATTGACTGATTTGCCTCTTGACCTAGCTATGTTTTAAGGAATACATCATAGGTGGAGTAATTCAAAAGAACTATGTTTGGGACTTCTTTTCAGCTTCTTCACTCCCCTTCCTTTTTCAGTATTAAAGCCCAAACCCAGCTGTTATGTAGGTAGTAGTGAAGAAAGAAATGTGTAGTTTATTGGCATTGAGAGTCTGATCCAATAATTAGGCTTATTTGTTTATGTAGCACCTACAATGTGCTAGGCACTTTCCAGACAGGAAAGTTTATACTCAAGTTGAGTTTATACTCAAGTTGCTCACATTCTAAGGACAGACAGACAGAAGTTAGGAAAAACTGAAATAGTTAAAAGGGAATTTTATCCACCAATCCAGAGAATCCCTTGTGGAGTTTATATTAGCTTTATTAAATAACATGTCAGTGAGTGTTTAGATACTAGAGAAGAAACAAGTGGAGATAGAAATGTACATCAACAGAGGAGACCTGGTTAGTGCAAAAGCTCCTAGCACAGATTGGTCATTGTGTGTGAGAGCCAGCAAAGAGTTTGGAACAATCCCTGTGTTCTGAATGGGTGGATCAGACGTGAAGACTTGAAATTTACAGGTAGGATAACCATTCTGCCTTTTCTTTTAAACATGCTTTTCCAGTTATACCTGACTTCTAACTGGGATCTGAGCTTTCAGATGCTAGGCTCTATGAAAGCCTACAGCCCACTTTTCAACAGATATTAGGATCCTTCTTAATGCATTTTGGATATAATGAACAAATCTGTTTTCATTTGTGAAAGATTTATTTCTCTATTGCAAAGGTGAAATAACGTTAAAATTCAACTAACACTTTAGTATTCCCTCCATACAGTGAATCCAAATACATGGTCCTCTCTTCTGTAATATTGAGCTCCTTCTGATGTGCTGTAGCTCAGGGTGTTTTTCATACCTCTTCAAACTATTCCAGCCTGTTCTATTTCAGATTGTGCTCTGAGCTACCCAGGGTCCTAATCCTTCATGAGCACCTACATGCAGCACCATTGACATAGATGGGACTCGAGCAGGTACAGCAACACATGCATGCAGAACTCTTTGCAAGATCTGAGACCAAGTCTGCTACCTCCTGTGTTCTTGACCTTTGTTTCCTCCCATTGCTTCATTTCTTCCTTTTATTGTTAAGAACAGAAGAG